GTGAGTGTGGGTGTGGGTGTGGGTGTGGGTGTGGGCGTGGGTATGGGCGGGTGTGGATGTGGGTGTGGGTGTGTGGGTGTGGGTGTGTGGGTGTGTGGGTGTGGGTGTGTGGGTGTGGGTGGGTGTGGGTGTGGGTGTGGGTGTGGGTGTCTTTTTCTCTTACACTCAGCCACACCCACACCCACATCCACACCCACACCCACACCCACACCCACACCCACACCCACACCCACACATCCACACCCACACCCACACTCCACACCCACACCCACACTCCACACCCCACACACACCCACACCCACACCCACAATATTGCAGAAGAAAAGCATTTCTTCGCTTTCACCATTATACTTTTTGACATTCTACTGTGGATGTGCGGGTCTACTATTTTCCTTCAATGTATTCCATTATCAATACCCACACGCACACGCACATACATACCCCACATCCAACACCGACATCCACACTCGCACGCACACCCGTACCCCACAATGACCCATCCTGTTGAAAAAAAAACAAATTAACGAGGCCGTATTTAACTCAGTGAAAGTAGTCCAGCAAAAAGGCGTGTTTTAGTTTGATTTTGCAGTTTTTAACATACTCGGAATTTTTAACACATAAAAACTAGTAAGAAATGCGGATACAATTGATAAAAACGTGTAAATTTCAAAAAATATACTTGTTTTAGCAAGTTCGTACCCTCTTAACACGTTTAAACGCATTTTTTTATGATTTTGGCTGCCTGGGAGGACTGCTCTTTTCTCTTTCCGAATACTAGGAGCTACATGTGCATATTAATGCATTATTTTGTTTTTATCGATGGCTGAATTGCAAAGAAAGACTAGTCACAATCATCATGTTCGTCAAACAGTGTAGATTACTACTCGGGGATGGTTTTTTCGTTCTGCAAGTCGTGATCGAAAAACAGCGATGACGTTTCTGCGTAGTTTATTTTGTGAGAAGAAATTGAAACGGTACTCTTTTTTCTCTTTCATTTTGTAATATTAATTTTAAGGCACGGACGCACATTTATTTCATATTATTGTCGTCGGTGAGTGAAGAAAGATAAGAAAAGAAAAGACGTAGCGCTCTCTCTTTCAAAATATCTTAATGTCGATAAAGTGTTACGGAAGTCAATTAGCTGATCGATGTGCAACATTTGAAAAGGACGCAGCTTGAACAGAAAGGTTTCCGTCTTCCGTTTGAGCTGATGAATTAGTTCAGGGAGAACCAAACAGTGACTTTGGGTTGTCGCAGCAATAACAAAGACCCAGAGGTCTTCTTTCCTCATAGGACTTTCTGAAATTGATCACGGTGGACTGTGATTTGAGTGATGGACACTTTGTTCCATCAAATCATTAGCGAGTCAAGACTACTTTATGAGTGAACCTTTTCTTGTAATTGAAAATACATTCAAAGATCGTTTGATTGTGTTTGAATGATTTGTCCTTACGATGATCTTTCTCTTGACAGCTCTTCGAAACATTTTTCAGAAGATTTTCGATAGAGGATCAAATTAATTCTCTCTTTAAAATGTTCATGAAAATTGCTTGCCAATGCCAGTCGAATATTCGATCTTCACAAATATGAACATTTGTCTTTGGCATAAATTTCTTCGCGAATAATGAACGCCTTTTCAGAAACATACAATCATTTTATCTTCAACAAGACTTTTGCCTAAATGAAGTCCAAACGCCGAATGCGATCGATCGACACTACTGTTATTGAGAGCGAGTCTACTTTTCAATTTGTTTTTAGATTCAGTGCCTTTCAGATAGAAGTCTCTTTGCATTCATCAAGCAGACAATTCGATCAACGATTCTGCTTTCAGTGCGCCAATTGATCAGTGAGAATCATCGCATTACTCGGCCACCTGAGAAATTCTTCGGTTATTATCTGAAGAGAAACAGTTGATCATCTTTGTTGCGTCTCTCAATCGATAAAGAACGGCCAAACGTCTTCTGCCCTTCTACCGAAACAAACGAAGTTCTTGCCGAGAGGAAGGAAATGATCGGAATCAAGTGACACTAGCGATCGAACAAAAACTTTACTGATCTGCATTTTTTATTGGTAATGACATACCATCACCAATACCAATTTTTTTCCTAAAACATCGGTCCAATACACTTTTGTTCATTCACTTAAATATCTTTGCAAAGATTCGATCTTTTTTATGAGTAATTTCACTGTTGAAAATGTATAAAAGAGAGATTCGTTCATTTTGAGCACAATCAATATTTGCTTCTTCCCTGAAGGTTCTTCATACACTCAATGAGATCGTTTGTATCAGATCGGAATAAACCAAGAAAACAAATGGATGCTGAAAAGCACGGTAGAGAATTACTTTAATCAACTTTAGAGACCATCAGCAGTGGTAAAGAAACGACAGTTGAGTAGACGGGAGACAAAGATTGTTTGTCCCTCGATATGAATTTCTTTTTTCTATGTATAAAGAACGAAGAGACTCCGTGTACAAAGATGTGTTCTACTTTTCCTAGGTATCCACACTTTTCTTGTATAAACATCATTTGAAAGAAGTTTTCGATCTGCTAGTTGTCAAAAGCGAAGTTCAAAGTCAAGAGCGTTGATAATAGGTTATCAGTTAGATACAAAAAACTATTCGGATCAGTTTTAATAACAACCATGCCAAAGAATCGATTCATTGTCTGATCTTGCCAAGATTCACACTAGCTGGCGTGACAACAGATGAAGGAGTACAGGATTCTAGCGAAAAATAGAGTTTTTTCGAGCAGATGACAAATGAAGTTTTCGGACACACGAGTCTTTTCTAGAGGCTACAAGATGTCAGAATGATTGAGTAGTGTCTATGAAGTTTAGGAAAGAAAGAGAATGGAGTATGAGTTATTTCGACTAAACTAAGATTCATATAGTACGAACTGGCAGGCGGTGTACAACCTTGAAGAGGTTGTATTGCCAATCCTGCACTTTGGTAGTTGATAGTTGTAAACAAAAAAAAGGCATTGGCGAATTATATCGATTGTGAACCTCGGCAGTTTATTTAGATGATATTCTAAAGAAAGAGGCTAGATAATGATCGAATGACTTACGTAGATAAAAGAGATCATATATTTGTCTTTTCTCTTAGTTCCCATGTAATTCAAAAGCACTCAGGTCAATGAGTATCGATTAAAAGTGAGAGTGAATCAGTTCTTTTTCTCCATCGAAGCTGAGAGCACACTGCATTCTATAGCTACTACAAACCGTCAGATTTTAGAAGAACTACAACTTGATCATTTCAAATAAAATGGCCACGGCAAAGGATGAGTTTCATACATATGACGACAACAATAACCTGGAAAGCTTCAGTCTTATCTGGCTCGATCCCAATGTCAAGATCAAAGAGAGTAGAGATACAGAACAAAAGCTACGAAATATCATCAACGATCTCAAGATATTTCAAAATGAACAAGAGTGTCTGCGATATGTTGAACAAAGATCACAAACAGATCGAGTAGTGCTTATCGTCAGTGCTCGATTGGGCCAAAAAGTAGTGCCTTCCATTCATCAACTTCAACAAATTTCATCAATATATGTCTACTGCACATGCCAGAAGAGTAACCAAGAATGGGTCTCGAAGTTTGCAAAGGTAAAACTGTAATGAAAGTATCATTGCCGTTGCATCATCGTTGCAGATTCGAGCGGTTGACGGTGAACTTGACCAACTTGTTTCTCGACTCAAATCAGACCATAAAATTCGAATGAAAGTGGAAGAACCATTGTCGATCAACATATTCACCACAAGTGTTGATGCAGGAAAATCAACGACAGGAGTCAATGGTCAATTTGTTTTTTCTCAACTACTCATTGAGTGTATTCTCCGAATGAAATCCAATGAGATGGACAAAAACGAACTGATCTCACGTTGCATGAATGAATACAAAGGTAATAACATGGAGCACGCCA